CTTACATAGGATGAGGCTACTACTGGGGGGTCCTAGTAATGGCACTTCAAGCATTACCGCACCAAGGGAGGCAGTTTTTCATCAGTACCAGGTCCACAAGCCTGAATTGATGGCACATCATCTCCAAGAACTCCGAAGCATTATCCCATCTCTCTTCAGTCTTCTCCTTTGGATGCAAGCTTATAATAAGTTTTGGTTTTACTCAATTACTGAGCAAGCCTCAATGAAACATTTCACAATTAAGATGAAAATACATACTGTATCAAGCTGATAATACAAAGGTGGATAAAATGATTAATTTGAAAAAGTGAAAAATAAAAAAAAAGAAAAAAAGAAAAATTTGAACTGTTTTAAAAGGAGTCAAACAAACATATTTTGCTGAAGTAAAAAAAGGGGGATCTGGGAACTCATCATTCCTCTCCACATTCTATTCTTTCCCTTGTTTTATATATTTTAAATTTTTTATCGGTGGTTTCTGCTGGAGTATCCACTGCAGATAAGCACTGGAGGTCTCCTGTTGCAAACCACCCTCTGGAACGATGGAAGTATCTTTCTACTAGCACTTGAAGGAGACCTGATCTGGTGTTGGTAAAGGACCGGGGTTCTGTTTACGTCTTCCCTCAGGACAATGAGGTTCCTCTTTGGATTACTGAGCACTGTGTTCGCCCTGTGACTGCTGCTGAAACCCAACATGACAGAGACCTATTGGGCCTTAATGAAAAACTCTCCACTTCTAATACCAATGGGGATTGAGAGCCCAATATGGCCAGCTTTGGCAAGCATCAACATAAGCCTAGGAACTGTAGCCATGCTTTTGGATTCTCCAGAAGACCTGCCAGCCTAAGTCATGCTGGGATCAAGAAAAATGGGCCTTGGCAGTTTGTGTTCCTGGAGTTGTATCCATGCCAGTGGATGTCCACACGCTCCAGAAGAGAATTTGATATTGCTGCTGCCATTGTTGCTGTTATAACAGTGGCAGCCAACGTTGCTACTGTTTCTGTGATTATCATTTCATACTGCTTACTACAGCTAGCACAGTGGAGACCCTGGCAGCAAAAGTAGCTACAACAGTTAACTAATCTTTCATTTTATTGGGCATGATAAATTTAATTCAATAGTTATATACATTTTGATTGTCTTTGAAAATTATAAATTTATAAACTCAAGTTCCATTTGCTTTTGGGATAGCATCTTACAAGGACTCCAATTTGCAGCAAGGCTCGTTAAGGAAGGGAATGGCTCAGTTGCCTTTAGCCGACTGGCTATGGGTGGGATAGAACCTCTGTTGGTCTTTTCTGTGTCCAACACACAGATTGCAAGCCCAGCGCCACTTTGAGATCTTTGGCAGCAGTTAACTCTGCAACTCACACAGGATTGAGCCTGTATGATAATGAGTATTCAGATTGAGCCTGTATGATAATGAGTATTCAGAGACGGGTAATGCCTGGGGGGCACTCACCAACCTAAGACAGAGTGCCTGTGTGGCTTGGGCAGGCGTCTCCATGACAGGTAAGGTGACCTGCTGATGTCCCACACAACCTAAGTCAGAAGCTCATTTCTTAGTAAAAGGGGGACCTGTAGGTCCCTGGCCCCTGTTTTGGGTAACTATTGCCTTGCTTGCTGACCTTGACCTTGATATCCTCCCTATGCTAATTCCCTGCTGGGTTCCACCCTCCTGAATGCTTAAGGGAAGTTCGTTGTCTGTGTATCCTGCATAATGGGCCTTAACAGCTAGCTTAGATGCAAGATTGTAAAACATCAGTAGCGAACTTCTGCCCTCCAGCGTCCTCCCGTTGTGCTGTAAGCCTGTATTTAAGACCTCTTCCCTCCTTTAATAAACAGCATTCAGCATAAAAAAAAGAAAAGAAAAGAAAAGAAAAGAAAAGAAAAGGAAAGGAAAGAAAAGAAAAGAAAAACCAAATAAATAGGGCTGGAGAGATAAAAAAAAAAAAATCACCACATTCTGGGCTCAGCTCAGCCTATACTCTTGACAGGTTCAATAGAGGATTGCAGTTGTACACACTCAGCATTCCTTAGAAACCTGATAAATGGGTTTCTGTCTGCTAAGAAGAGTTATCCTCCCTTAACTCCCCCTACCTCAGCAAATGAGACATCTAGGTCCCTATTAGCACATACCGGTAACATATCAAAACTCCTGTTGGCTCCTGGTCTCTTCTGGCTCACAAACCTCCTCACCACTACTTTAAACTTCCAGGCTCTTCTGGCCTGCACACCTCCCAACTTCTTTAAAAGAGGCAAGACTTTCCTCACCATTCTGCTATCCTCTCTGCCTCCCAGTGGGTAGTCATGGCAGCTTCAGACTCCTCCAAATGCTTTTTGCTTCTCTTTGCCCCCAAGCGGTAACCATGGCAGCTTTGAACTCCCCAAACCAACCTTCTTTCCACCTGTGGAGTGGCCTGGTTCAGTGTTTGACTGCTCCCTCCCTTACACTTATATGTGTGTCTGGGTGGGTGTGTACATGTGAATGAAGACACCTGTGGAGACCAGAGGTGTTGGACACATGGAGCTGAAATTATACCAGTTGTCAGTTACTTTGTGTGGGTGCCGGGAATTGAACATCCATCCTCTGCAACAGCAATAAGTACTCTTAACCAATCTTTCTGACGACACACTCTCTGGATTTTTATAACTGGGGACTTTTATGCTAACTTCTGTCTTATACTCTTCTTAGCCTTCACCTAAATCTGAGGTGAAGATAGACCAAATTCTAACAAGTACACAAAGATCCAACAGTATCAAATAAATGACATTCTTAAGTTTTCTAATGTCAGAAGGTGATAGACAGCCATTTCTGTGTATAGACTTCCTTGCATTTCCCCCAGGTCTTTAGTAGACAAACCACTAATTACTTTACTGTACAAAGCACTAATTACTCCTTAAACAGAGCTTATATCTACCCACTGTCCATTTTAAGAACCGAGAAACTGACTGGTCTCCTGTTTCAGCATCTTCATGATACTTTACTGATTACTTAATAGATAATGGAAGGGAACAAACAAATTTGAAGTGAATCCTAGGTGCATTTTCTTTTGCAGTTCCTCTCGTCTGTCTGTCTAGCTAGCTAGCTAGCTAGATATTTATCTTTATTTGTTTGTTTGTTTGTTTGTTTGTTTGTAGAGATAGTCATAGCTCAGACTGGCATGCAACTTTCTATGTAGACCCCAAATGGTGCTAGAAAAAACTGGGCATTTAATGTGGAAGAGTGAACGAGACCCTTATCTCTCTGCCTGCATAAAAATCAACTCTAAATGGACCAATGACCTTAGTGTAAGACCTGATACTCTGAAATTGCTATTGGAAAAGTGGAGAAAACTCACCAAGGTAGAGATATAGGTAAAAACTTTGTGCATTAAACTCCATTTGTCTAGGATACAGTCAACCATTGAAAAATGAGTGGTTATAAATGTTGTTAGGATCCTGTACATACTCAGCTCGAGGTTTTGTGTCTTACATAATCAACAGGCACTGGCGACTATGTCCCCGCCTTAAAGAGCCAGATGCAGATCCCCAGCCTCTATGTTCTCTGCTCTCTCTCTGCTCTGCTCCCTGATTCCCTTCCCCACCATGCCTGATTCTCCTCTCTTTCTCCCCCCCACCCCCACCCCACCACCACTGCTTTACCTCCTAACAAAGCTCTAAAACTTCTTTCGTGACTGTGACCTTTCCATGCCGTAACCAGTGATGCCACCAGCACGACCAACCAGTGACTTTTATCATGACGATTTGAATATTATCAAAGACAAAAAAAAAAAAAAAACAAAAAAACAATTGCCTGTGTGTGAATTGGGGACCCTTGCACATCTTTGGCAGAGCACACATTGATACAACCACCATGAGACACAGTGTGGAGATTTCTCAAAATGTAAAACCATGTCTGCCCCGGAAGCCAGCTAACCCAACACTCTGGACACAACAAAAGAAAGGAGGTCAGGATGCCAAAGAGACCTCTGTACTGCCCCATGTATCTGAGACCTATTCATGACAGCCAGGCTATGGAGTCAACCAACGTGCAGCAAGGGGTGAACTGATACAGGGCAATGCAGGACCCATCACGAAACCAAAACGAGACCTGCCAGATGGCCCGTGCTGGCTGTGTCTTCACGGGAAGAGAAGTGGGCTGCATGTTGGGTTTCTTTTGACAGAGATTTGGTTGCAGGAGGGAAAGGGCTCCTGTCATTTTGGAAGCCTCTCAGTCTCTAGTTCACATGACAGCACAGAGCATCCATCCATTGTCCTTTGAAGGAAGCTCTGCCCCCTCAACAGGATATGAATGCCAGGGCAGAAATACAAGTTGAGGAAGGAACCAGATTACAGGCTATACAAAGGCAGTGCCTTGTGATGAGGAGTCAGGGTCCTTGTGAGCATTTGCACACCCAGTTATAAGGATCTTGTTGATGATGCTGAGAGAGGACAACTGCAGAGTGTGTTGGGAGTCTTTCAAAATGAATCAAAACCTAATCCTTTAACAATGTGTCTATGCTACATCCACGTGTCTGTAGAAGAAGAATGTAATTAGGCCCTATGATTCAAGAGGTACAAACCTGTCACCACAGTACCCAGGATTCTGAGCAGGAGTATCAGGAGTTGTAGGTCAACCTAGGCGACACAGCAAGACCCTCTCTCAGAAAAAGAAAGCATAAAAGGGATACAGAGACTTGTTGTCAACTTGAGTCCACCTGAAGGACATTGTGCTAAGAAAAATTACCCTCAAGAGAGAGAAATACTGCATATGAGGAGCCTAAAACAAAATTCTCCATTTGTGATAATAGCCGGATGGAGAGATGTTTCTAGGATGTAGACTAGACAGTATGTAGGAGGAAGAGGGCAGAGATCTAATGCCCAGAATGAAGACCCAAGTGTGTCATGGAGAATTAGTGCTGTTCTCACCACAGGGAGAAATGGTGCATTCAGAAGATACACATTCTGACCAATTTGACTATCAAAATATTTATATAGATATAAATCAGGACACCAGAGCATGTGGTTCAAATATACAAAGAAGTTTATTGTAGTAAGAAAACAGTCTCTTTATTCAGAGATATTTGTGCCATATATCTTTTTGTCCAGGTGCCTGTCTTTCTTGATAACAGGTCTGCAGAGCACTCTTGGGCCCAGCTCTCTGAGCATATCCTCAATGGCTGATCTTCACCTGCATACACAAGGCATAAAGTCAGCAGTCATTCAGCTTTCACTATCTAGGACCTTTACTTAGGGACTGTCTTCATGGTTCCGTTCTTTAGGTATTGATTGATGCCACACTCTAAAAGGGGACCCAATGAAAAAGCCCTCAAAGTGCCTGTCAGTGTTCTCTCTGTCTGTCCCTTGCAGCCAGCAGTCTTTCTGATGGAGAAGTGGTGTCCCTGCCTAGGTGACCAAGGGAACAGTAACAACAGCTGCCTCCATACAGTACATGGAGGAGACTTGAACAGCACCTCACACTCACGTGGCTCCTGCCAGGACAGAGAAGCATCACCCTCAGTGAGGTATATCCCTAAGCTGTCTCAGACACTGTTCCCCCCAAACAAGGGGTTAGTACAAGGGCCTGGGTGCTTACCTGGATCAGCAGACATTTTCTCTTGTTCGTCTTAGTCCACCTGCTTGTAGGTCTCCGGTTCTGGTCCAAATTTTCTGTCAATCAGAAGAAGCCTCTTCCATCAAGGAGACCTGAAAACAAGGCATTTTGGTAAGATGACCACATGTTCAGTTGTCTATCACCCTGTAACCAATCACACCTTCCCTGTGGCCTAAGCAAAGGAGCATCACCTCTGTGTCCCTCTTCCATCCAGTGTGTTAGGGCTTGAGTGTCATCTCCTGCTTTAAGCACCATCCAGTTAAAAATGTCTCTTGCTGAATGTAGTCCCGGGAGTCTCATTGGTAGCCCCAGCCTAGGGTCACACAGGCAGCAGAGGCACCAGTCTTTCCCAGCCTGCTGCCTGGAGATCAAAGCTTCAGCAAGAGCAACGTCCCTACAGGATGTAAGAAAGAAAGAAGGTGGGATCTTTGTGTGATATACTGTTGAAAATAGTATCTTGGGGTATAGTAGAGTGTGATCTTGGGGTGTACTAGAGTGTGGGCCTAAGGAGGGGTACAAATATGATCCCTTAAAACCCTTTAACTGTCTGAGTTATCTTAGGAGGTGGGAATATGGTAGGAGACTATTAGCCACTCAAAGGAACGCCCTCACTGTCAGACCAGGGGTTGCCATTGATTTTCCATCAACAGGTTCTCATCCACGATCATGCATGGAACCAGCTCCATCTCTCAATTCAACTGTCAGACTCTCCAGACTTCACCTTGCTTCCACTCAAAGCACAGCTGGTGGGCCTTACCTTGCACACCACTGGATGCCTTGTGGCAAAGTGTGCACCGTGGCATGTGCTGGCTTCACATGGCTCCCGTGAAGCAGTAGAGCAGAGTGGTGAGTGTTTGGGGTGGGGGTGGAGACAGGAACAAGCTGAGTAAGAGGAGTGTCGAGGCATTTCCAGGAGGGAAATCACATGAAATGTGAAATTACATTGATTGGAATGAAAGTCCTCTCCAGTTCAAACCAACTTCACTTGTGTTAACTGTGCACAAAGTACATTGGGAGAAGCGTGTGTGTGTGTGTGTGTGTGTGTGTGTGTGTGTGTGTGTGTGTCCCTGTCTGTCCAGACACTGAGTACAAAAGAGTGTATCCATATGACTCAGGTTGCAAAGCCACAAGGAGGTTCACCAATAATAGTGTAGGGAGAGTTGTGAAGGTGTCTGGATCTTGGCGGGGATAGGAAGCAAGCTGTCTAGTAGGCCAGGTTGATGCTTTGAGCTGCACCATAACTAATGGACTCACCTGTTCCCATACACTCTACCTTCCCAAATGAGCACAAGATGGACAATCCCTGCAAACTCCTTCCTCTGTTTCTGGCTCCAACCTGGTCAGCAATATTCATCTTGAAGGCATGCAGAATGGTCAGGACCTCTGGGGTCTTCCTCTGCCTCCAGTACCGCTTGTCTCTTCTAATGGCTCACAGGTACACCTGGAGACAGGAGGCTGGGCTGACAATCTCATTGGGCATGGAAGGTCCTCTGAGCCCTGTTTTCCTAATGATCACAGCACTCTGTGGACCCTTGTTTAAGGATTTCTAAGTCCCACAGAGGGCTTCACTTTACAGCCACAATTGTGGCACCACCAGCCATCATGATCCTACCTACAAGGGTGAGTCAGGAGGATCATGAGTCTGTCTGTGAGAACTGCCTCCCAGAATCCCTTCTCAGTCCTCAGGTTCCAGGTGATCCGAGAAGGGTGTGGCATGCCCCCTCCTCCCCAGTCTTCCTCTGCAGACACAGGAACACTTTGTTCCTAGTTTCAGCCTGTGATATGCACACAGCTTCCCACCGGCACACAGCCATCTGCACTTCCTACCTGGCTCTCCCCCCGCGCCTGTGTGCATCCTCAGCACGCTGCTCTCCACTCTTGGGTTTCAGCTTCGGAGGGGTACAGTGCCTCCACCAGCACTTGAAACAGACACAAGAAAGGGGCCTCTTAGGAGAACATGCAGGACTTCTGCTTGGCTGTGCTGGCCCTGAGCAGTCTGGGCCCTCCCCTGATTCCCCCTGAGTGCTGCCCCATTGCTCTCTTCACCCACCCATCTCCTCATCCATGGCCAGCCTCAGGTCACTATCCTCTGCTGTCTGTCTACATCTAGGTCAAGTTTCTCAGGAAGGACATTGCGGGATTTGCTTTCTGGTGTGATGATAACTTATTACCACCAGCCCCCAAAATGGCTATGTTTATAATCTGTTTATTTAAAAACATATCATTTAGTACCGAAAAAAGCGTAGTGGGTAAAGGCACATGACCCCAAGCCTGGGGACCTTAATCTGTTTCTTAGTACCCACGTCGTATAAAGAGAGAACTAACTCCTTCAAGTTTACTTCTACACACATATAGTAAATAAATATTTTTTTCTTTCAAGAAAAGAGCATCATTTAAAAAAGAAAGAAAGAGAGAGAGAGAGAGAGAGAGAGAGAGAGAGAGAAAGAAAGAAAGAAAGAAAGAAAGAAAGAAAGAAAGAAAGAAAGAAAGAAAGAAAGAAAGAAAGAAAGAAAGAAAGAAAATGCCTAGATACAGAAGTGCATTATAGCCTCTCCACCTACCTGTCTCCTCGGCTGCCTCCATGGCTATTTGGGCTCACAGACAGGGTTTGGTTGCTGGCTAGGTGCTCCCTCCTTTCTGTTGGTAGGCAGCAACATAAACATCTCAGGCCTTTCGTTATCTTATTCTGTATGCTCTTCCAAACCCGCTTTCTAAAGGGGGTTCTGGGTGCAGTCTGGCCCTGGCCACTGAGCTGTCCCTGGTGTGTTTCTGGGGAGGACGGGCTGAGGTCTTCCTCTTCTACAATGGGACCCTCATCCTGGGCCTCCTCGCTGGAGAACGGAGGTGATCTATCCTGTGAGGTCTTGTTCTTTGAACCAGCTGTAGGCACACTGTGGGGCTGCCGCCTGAGGTCCTCCTGAGGTGAGCTTTGTGGGAGAGCTCCTGAGGTGACCTCTTTGCACTGAACCTCCTCCACAGAGGGGTGATGAGATAAATCATCCTGTGAGGACGCTGTGTCCTTTGGATTGTTAGGGCCAGCTTTGGACACATCCAGGGATAACTGGCTGAAATAAGCTTCCAGGACTGAAGACACTCTGGTACATATTTCATCGGAGGGGTCAAGAGTGCTCTCTGCATCCCCCCAGCTGATGTTCATGAAGTGATCCTCATGTAGGTGCTGGGAGCAGATTCTGTAAATGGGGGCTGTTCCTTTGTAAGGGCCGTTCAGGGTGGGAGGCACATTGGACCACGTTCTACACTTTTTGTCGTTCTCGGGACACTCAGGTAGAGTGGGCAAAATGGAGGTGGGAAGGGTAGGGACACTAGATCCCCTCTTTATAGTCACTTTTGGTAGCGTGGGACAGCCTACAAGGTTGAAGGTTCCATCGGACTGCTTGGGCTTAAGTAGTTTTATAAAGTTGTTCCTCCAGGTCGACTGCCTAAGAATCAAGTAGGTGGCCATCATCGCATCAAACTTTTTCTCCCGTAAAGCTTCCCTTATCTCTCCTTGCTTGTAACCCATGATGCCCATGACGACCATCACAGTGGGGTCTGCGTAGCTGTCCTCATCGTTCTCTCTAAAGGGATTGGGAGAAACTTCATTGCCATCCTTTAGCCACTGAAAGTCCACAACGTCATCTATTGTTGGTCTTTGTCCACGATTTACAGTTAACAACTTAGCAATAACGTCCCACAGCTCTGGAGACAGCTTGAATTCAGTAGTGTACTTGCCTGCCAAGATCTTCTGCTTTAGTCCGCCAAAGGTATTTCCCTTGAAAGGGAGGCACCCTGTTGACATAAAGTAGAGAACAACACCCAAGCTCCAAACGTCGGTGGCAAGTTCATTGTAGTCTTTTTCTTCAAAGAGTTCTGGGGCACAGTAAGGAAGGGTCCCACAGAAATATGCTAGCTTCTGCTCTGTGGTAAGCTTGGTGCCCAAACCAAAGTCGCTGAGTTTTATATTTCCTTTGCCATCCACTAAAATATTTTTGGGCGTTAATGCCCTGTGAGCAATCCCTTTCCTGTGACAATATTGGAGGGCACACACCATCTGTTTAAATAGCTTACGGGACTCCTCCTCTGGTAGGTAGCCCAACTCCGCAATCCTGACCATTAGGTCTCCCCGTGTGGCATGTTCCATGACCATGTAAGTATTATTTGCGGTGTCGATGATGTGCAAAAGTTTAGTAATATTGGGATGGTCTAGAGATTTCATTATTTCAATTCCTGATTTGATGAAGCTGTTCTTTCTGTCTTTGGGAAGAACTTTTACTGCTACCCTTGCCTGGGTGAGTAGATGGCTAGCCAGTTTTACTTCTCCGAATGCCCCTCGCCCAAGGGTTGTTAGGATTTCATACTGTTCGGTTAAAGCCTCTTCGTCAAAGGGCTTGTTCTTGAGGCCTTGAGCTGCTTCGCTAGTCTGCATCTTTGTTGATATAAATGCTCGGTATCAACACCAACTAGTGGGGCAAGATTAAAATTCATTAAAAGCGGGACTAAGAGGAACACCAAAGGAAAGAGAAGAAATGCTGAAGAGTTCAGAGCAGAAATTGATGAAATGGAAACTAAAATAATACAAAGAACAATGTAGCAAAGACTTGATTATTTTAGGGATAAATAGAACTGTGTGGTTTTAATCGAAATAATAAAAAAAAAAGATTAAGATAGACGTTAATAATATGGGAGACAAAATAAAGTGGTGTTACCAGAGATACAACTGAAATCCAGACATCTAGACAATCACTACGGAATGTTTTTAAAATGTTCCAGTGCATTGGAAAAATCTAGAATAAACCTGGAGACACACATTAGCTACCAAAACTCAACTAAGAAGATATAAAACACCTACACTGAAAGACTGTCAGAGCTAAAGACAGTGGATGACAACACAAACGGTTTTCTGGACAGAGCAGGGCAGTTGCCCATCTGAGATCACAGCATTGTGACCTGCTTAAGCTCACTCCAGACAAAAGTCTCAGCACCAAGAGGGGAGGTGGGACAACAAGTCACAGTCCTGATGAGCTATTGACAACTGATGATTCCAGGAGAAGGGGAACACATTTTAAGGGTGTGGCTCCTCGTAAGTGGATCCGACCACTCTCCAGTGGAAGGTCATATATCCAAGAGTACAAGGACAACAGAAACTGTTCTTGAGGCCAAAACAAAACAAAAAGACACATATGGGTGATAGTAAAGGGAGTATGGAAGATCTGGGAGGAACTGAAGGAAGAGATAAACACATCCAAAATATATTGAATTAAATTCTCAAGGAACTAATTTACATCAGAAAAAAAGCAAAAAATAAAATGAAAGAGTACTTTAAAATAATCTCTTGACAAACAAAATCCAGGATCAGACAAATTCATTGGTGATTTCTATGAGACCTCTAAAGAAGAATTCACACCTGTGGTGATATTTTGTTTGTGATCTAACAAAGCTTGCATGAAGATCAGAGTGTGGAGCTAAACCACTAGTTAGCCAGACAGGCCAGGTGTTGATAGCTCACACCTTTGATCCAGCACCCAGGAGGGAGCAGCAAAGGGATCTCTCTGAGTTCAAGACCACCCTGGAGAACATGAGATTAATCCAGTCTAAAAGAAAAACAGAGCCAGGTGGTGATGGCTCACACCTTTAATCCCAGCCCTAGGAAGGTGGAAACAAAAAGGGATATACCTGGGCAGAGAGAGGACTATAAGGTGGGAGGATACAGGGGCTCATGGCATTCAGTCTGAGGATTCCTCTAGACAGAATCTTGCACCCTTTCAGGCTGAGGATGGCTACAGGTGAGAGGTCTCTCTAATGGCCACCTTCTTTTTCTTACTTATCTTCAGACAAGCTTTGTTAGAGCATATACAAAATATCACCACAAGCACTAATGCTTCTCAAAATATTGCATGAAATGAATAGGGGAAGGATGCTTCCAGACTCATCCTAGGAGCCTGTATTACTCAGGTACCAAAACCAGGTGGATACAGTAACAAGAGAAAGGTATAATCAAGGTCCTTGGTGAACACAGATGCAACAGTCCTTATTAAGAGTACTTAAATACTTCACACAAAATTCAATAGCACTTAACAGGACCATACTTCATGATCAAGATGGGTTCACCCAGTCATGTAAGAACTGCAACATATTCCAACTTATTAATAATATTGTTCAGAAACAAAAGGCCACAACGGTATACTCAGCCAGAAAGAGTGAAATTGTCCCTTTTCAGGGAAAAAAAAAAAAAAAAAAAAAAAAACATGGAACTGGAAATCATGGTGTTGTGTATAACAAACCAGTCCCCGAAAAACATTTGTTTTCAAACCTTGAAGCACAGGTTGGGGAGGGGACCTGATAGTAAAAGGAGGTGATTAGGTATGTGAAGGGGACAGAGGAGGAGAACAAGTATATAGAGTAGGTGAACATTATCAAAGTACATTATGTGCAGATACAGAAATGTTAATTGAATTTTTTTTTACTTTTTATGATTATTATTTACTAACAAAAACTTTAAAGGTAAAAAGAGACGAAGAAATTAAGTAGTTTGAAAAAGAATAATGGAAAATAGTTAACAAAGAAAATTTAAAATATGTAAATATTAACTTCTGAAACCAGAAAGATAAATCACAAAATATAAAATGAAAAACTAAAACCAATACACCCAAACATAGCCAGCAAAGTGAAAGAAAAACTCACTCTGTCAAGATTAACAAGTAACCAGCGTCCAAGTCCAAAACGTCAACCAATATCCAGGTCCAAAACTTTCACCAAAGTCCAAGTCCCACAGATCACCACCCAACAGCTCTCTGTACTAGAAGGACAAAACCCAGCCCTAGGCACTGTGTTATATGCCCAGGTATCAGTCATTCCTCACAGTGGCTCATTGTGAGGTCAGAGCAAGCCATGGACCAATGAGGGATGGGCACAATCCTGTCAAAGGACTGTATTAGC